GATCGTTTTCGATGGGCATGCGATCAGCCGATTAACGCAATACAATCCGATTTCTACTTTACACTTATTCACACGGATGCATATTACGCGGATACGAGATCGACGGCGTTTCCAGTCTCGTATGTTTTTCCTTCAATTTTTCGCCCGTCCTTTCTCTCGCGATTCTGCGATATGGACCTTTTTTTTCGTGCCTGGTGGCAAGAAAAACGATAGGATGTTTCACAGACCGTAAACACGAGAAAATTATCGCGCGGAGGGATGAAAGGGGTGGCTGTTACAACGTAATAGCGAATTCTTCTCGGTAGTTTCTGCATCCGGCATGGAAAAATTGTACCTCGTTGGTACGCGCGTGATTGCGTTGAATTATGATATCAGTTTTGGTAATACTTTTTTGAGCATTAGCATTAAAATAATTGCTGAATTGGCGAATGAAAATGTAAATAACAATGAGTTATATTATTTTTTTATTGTACATGGAAATAATTTTCTCTTAGAATTTATCCTGATAATCATGATAATCGTGGGACAATACGGTATTGGAAGAATTTTATAAAAGTTTCTCTGATTAATATTTACCAAAAAATATTAATATGTACACATAATAAATTAATCGAACATATTTTATATCTTATTGTAGCAGATATTATTTTTTAATGTGGTAAATATTAGTTAGAAAAACACTTAAAATTCTCTTGTAATAATAATAATTTATGATTTATGCATGTGTGTGTGCGATGAAAGCATATATTCCTGAATATTCAACGTAATGTGATATATAAAATTTGAAAAATTATATACATGTACATATATGCATAAAAAATGAGTTGTGTTTATCAGACTAAATATCCTTAAAATAGATTATATATATTTATAATATATATGTATATATGTAATGGAATATTTCCTCCTTTTTTATTTAGATTCTTATCTTAAAATTTACATATGTTATTTAACATTATTATTTAACTATTATTTTATTTAAAATTATAATATAAATATATTCTGTGTGTAGGAAGGAGAGAGAACTAATTGTAAGAAGATTTTGTATTTGCCTGTACATGAACAATGGAAAAGGGGCATTTGTTACGGTAGGTTTATATTTGACAGATATCGAACGATATTTCCATCCGGCGAACTTTTGTTTCTGTTCGCCGATGAGTACAAAACTGTGGGCTTCGATATATGATGACACATTCGTTTCCCAAATATCTGTATACTCTTCTTTTCCCCGAGATTTTAAAACTTCATGCTCGATAGAAGTGCAGTGCGATGTGCAAGACTTTCCGACAGATTTATCGTCGTGGAATCGAACTTTCTGATTAATGAGCGATAAGTTTAAACGTCGAGACTGACGAAAGAACGAATAATATTGCAAACCAATTTTATTTACCTATCAAGTTATAAATTATAAAAATTTAATACACACTTGCACGATTTCATCATCTATGTATAAATAATAAGAAGTTTTAAAGATCTTTGTGCAAATATATTTTAAAACATTCTATAAGAAAATATATGCACAAGCTTACAATTAGTTTAAAATAAAATGAGTTAATACAAAAAATTAACAAAATCGACAAATTATATTTAAATTATAAGTTTGTGCGTATATTTTCTTATAGAATGTTTTAAAATATATTTATACAAAGATCTTTAAAATTTCTTATTACTTTTACATAATAAAATTGTGTATTTTTTTATAATTTATAACTTGAGATAAATGAATTGAAATTGATATTGAAAGCGACTGCACACTCAATCATCTGTTGTGCAACGCGAACAAGATGTGTTGTCTACAGTTAACGCATATTATTGCATATGTGAAGCTCATATCTGGTTGCGTGCATAGTGTGTAATACGAGAGAGACAGAAGTAAAACAATAGGGTGTCCCAGAAACGGAGATGCGGCCGCAGAAAGGAGAATAAAGGTGTCAAGTAAATGTGATATATAGGATCGATTTGAATCCGGCGTTTAAGCTGCGAGCCATAATTCAATCTCGATCGCCTTTTCCTTCCTTCTACATCTCTACGCGACTCCCTCTTTTCCAGCGTCTTTCTATCTCGTCTTCAGCCGTGTACTATCCCTTAAGGGCACGTTCGATACTCGATATACATATTCTTAGGTACATATTCGAGCTACTCTCTTCGTGGTACCAACTCTCGCATATAATAACATATACGTATTGCGAAGCCCGTTGACTCGACTTAAGACCTCCGTTCATTATATATTGTCCTCTTCGATTACGAATGAATTTCTTTATGAGATTATCGCGCCGCTTGGTTTCATATCGCGCCTCGTAATTTCCGCTCCGAGTTATTATTCCGATTATAATTTCCGATACATTAGTAGTGCACAGCTACATACTTTCTTCGAAACAATTATTATCAAAGTTATTAGACGCGCGAGATATAAAAATATAAACAAATGTAAAATAAATATTTTAACAACTATATTTCCATTTTTATCAATATTTTATTTCGTAATATTTAAAAAAGAAATTTATTTAACATTTATATAAACATTTGTTTAAATCAAATTACATTTAGTTTGTTTAGAGACCGTGGTATGTACGTGTTTCTTTATTATTATCAATTTCAATAAATATTATTAATTTGAATAATCTGTAATAGATGGTAATGTAAGCTTTGTATAACAACGTAACGTTAGTAAATTATTATCGTCGAAAAAAAAGTTTTTTGCATTCGCGAATAAATAAAATAAACCGAGAAAATACGATAAGTGATGTTTGCGGAAAATCACATGTGGATGCGGAATTTATTTTACATGGGATTCGACCGCTTGCAAAGCGCGTTTTACATCGTTGACGTGACGACACGAGACGAGACTCACGTTTTTCCGCGCAGATGTGTACGTAAAATGCATGTCGAGACGTCTGGATCTAGGTACGCAAGAAAGGGAAGGCTCGATGATATTCGAGCGGGAAATCTGGAGGTCACGTAATAGACCCTTCGTGTGCGAGGGTATATATTTTTATCGCATAAACGTAGATAATGCTAATCTAATGTAATAAGATACAAATGTATTCTATTGTCGTTTCTTTCGTTTACGTCACAATGCAATAATGCAGTTTGAAATGATTATTTTTTGATATGCTTTCAATATAATGTACTTACCTCAATATAATATCACAAAGAAAGATCTGCACATAATTTTCCAAGCAGAAATATCAATATAAATGTAAGAGATTTGAAACAGTATTTCTTTCATTAGAAAAAATTATTAAATTAATAAATATTTATTTTAATACTTATAAATCATTTATTTGAAACAAATAGATATTTATCTATTTGAAAAGAACTTTCTTATATTAAATGAATGTTTTTTTAGTGTTTAAAAAATATTAAGAATAAGATACAATTTCTCATATTTTTAGAATTGTTACAAAATTGTTATTAAATAAGAGTATAAATATTTTATCCATTTAATTGTCTATATTGTCTATATATAATATATTATTAATATTATATTTCGCAAATTTGATACATTCTGTTCTGAATTAAATATAAAGAAAATTTTTAAGTATTTTAAAAACTTAATATTTTTATAATAAATAACAATTTAATGTGTAATAAATATATTATTAATATTATAATTTTGTACATTTGATGTGATCTGTTCTGAATTCAATATAAAGAAAATTTCAAGAAAATATTTAAAAATTCAATATTTTTATAAAAAAACCAAATTATATATATATTTATATATATTCACAGAAATCTAATAAATCTTAATTAATTTAATCACCATTCAATCGGTTACTACTTTTCTCCTCTGTTTCTCAGAGAGAGCACACAAAATCTATCATAAAAATACATAAAAATCTCCGATTACGAGCACATATATATCTCAATTGTCATTGAGATAAAATTATATACATATATAAATATGTAAATGGATGCTGGCTGGTACTTATCGGTTTTGTTGTGCTTGTGTGTTGTCTGACTCGTTCAGGAATATCAGCTCGTCGCTCCGATGTACTTGACACAATGTTGACACTTGTCGCGAGTCAAGAGAAAGGGAGAATTTTATAAACACGTAAAGAGTTTCAAATTGATCGTCGAATTTTCGTCGTGTTAATTTCGCGATCGCGCGCGCGTTTATTCATCGTAATCTCTTCGCGTCGAAAAACAACTTGCACTGCATTATTGAGTATACATATATTACACGTACACACAGAACGTAAATGATGCCCAAAAGTGAAAGTTGATATTAATTAATCGCGGTAAACGATGTTAATTAGCCGATTCGACGGTTCTTGGAGGCACAATTTATTTGTCTTGCGGAGGAAGTCGACTGAAGTTGTATATGCGCATCGATATGAAATTGGCGCTTATTTTTCGCAGGCGCCATCTTGCGCATAATTACGCTCGAAATTTACTCTCGAATAGATCGATAAATCGATATGTCGTACTATCCGATTGACCAATCAGGATCAAAAATTTTTTTCACTCTCGATTAGTCGATGAAACATTATTGTACTTTGAATAACTCTTCGGACGCATCTATATAATGAATATATATTACATATTAGTCAATTAACGCGCCAAATAATACGTGACAAAATTGTGTCTCATACGGGAGAAGCTCCAGGTACGTTTATCTCTTCCTTCTTTTCGTCGTTTTGTGTACAAATTAAAGCAAAAATTATCGCTTTCCTTCATAGCTGTCCCGAGGGTGTTATTTGCGAAGGGGCCGATCGACTCGTCACCGAGGATACGCACGCACATGGGCTCATCGTCGAGAGAGCGAAGGGAAAAGGTAGATGTAGTTTGGGGTACATAAAACGAGAGAAGAGAGAGAAAGAGAGACGTAATAGCGCGTCCTTGTGCGTAAGTCAGACGACCAGCGAGAAATAAACAGAGCGGGCACGAGACGGAGACGGAGCACAAAGTCCCGCGCCGAGGCCGGCCGTGGGGTGGGGGGAGGCGGAAGTTAGGTGGGGGTGGCGGAGCACGGCGCGGTGTAGTGTACGCGCAGCCGTCGAGACACGCGCATCTCTTCGACTCGTTTCCGCGCTTCTCTTGTCGGAGAGAAGTGGAAGAAGCCCGCGAAATCGCGATCACTGCGCGTTCGGGCTTCGCGGTCGCATCACGACGTCGTTTTTGACAGCTCGATATTTTGGCGCGCAATTCGAAAAGTGTATTTTCTTTTCTTCGAGTTTCGTAATTGCCGCCGTTGTGCTACAGGGAGAGCGGCGGGGTGTCACGTGATTCGCGCCCGTGACGAAATACGCGCGAAGTTGCAGTGTGAAGCTGGCCGTCGTCGTTCGGAGACGCATCATCGTCCTGGGAGTGCAACGGACGATAAATAAAGGTACGGATAAGTTTGATATATTCTGAGGTTTGCGATGTTTTTTTGCTTCTCAATTGTGTCTCGTGGTATGTATATTCGGGGTGTTTCGTGTTATTCTCGCAGTGAAACTGACAGAAGTTATTCGAGCGCAGTAGAATATGCACATCTATCGCACGCTTCGTCAATTAGAGCGAATTGTTGTTCAACAAGATGGCGATGATATTATCAACATTTTTACACTGTTTTCTCTTATTAATTACAGAACAACCAACGTATCGCGCGTCGAAGGTCTGGCTTTTCGCGTAATCGTTCGTTTCGGAATACGAGAGCTCGCGCGTCGCGGATTTTCGTGTGATAAAAGTTTCGTCGCGCGTTCGTTTGCAGTGACTTTCGCGAGTTGTTCGTTGTTTTACGCGAACTCGAAATATTAATCGTTGAATATTTCGGGAGTGAATGCGTTGAATTATTTCGCGCGCGCGCTCTTTTACCGCGTCGAAATTCGAATTCGCGCCGTTCAAACGCGCGGGCTCGCGCACGCTCCGATAATTTTGCGAAAGCGTCGTCAGATCGCGAATTCGCGAGTGTGCGACCGGTTGGCGTGAGAATTGCCGAAGAATCTCCAGCGATGCATCCGTGCAGGCTGAGAGTGCTGCGGAAGGAGGGGGATGATCTGTCCGGTCATGATGCAGCCTGTTGTGGACATCGTTAAAGAGCTCCACGTTTGCGACGACATCCGGTCAGCGAACGGTGAGTCTAAAAATTTTTTTCACGTGGCTTTACATTCTGCTTTTAATGATTTATATGTATTATATTTGGAATATTGAATTGCGCGCGATATTGGCAGACTTTTTAATTTTTGTCGTGTCAAAAATTTAAGCATTTAAATTTGAATAATATTTAATAAATAAAATATTATTTATATTTTTATGAAATTAAATAATCATGCAGATTTAGAATTTTATAACAAAATAAAGCAAAGTAATAATTATTAAATTTTTATGAAATAAAATACAATAAAGAAACGTAATAGTTATTATAATTCAATCATGCAGATTTAGATTTTTATATACGAACAGTTGCATCTCTACACAGAGAGAATTTTCTCTTAGAAAGAAATTTATAAGAAATTTTTTCTTGAAAGAATTTTATAAGAAATTTTCTGATTAATATTTATCACACAATAAAAAATATACATAATAATTCTTATTATGAACATAGTAAAATTAAACATATTTTATATCTTATTGATAGTGATAGACATATTTTTATCGTGGTACATATTAATCAGAGAAATTCATAAAATTCTTCTAATACCATATTGTTCCTATGATTACTATGATTCTTAGGGTAAATTCTAATAGAAAATTCTCTTCGTGTATTGTTTAAAATAATGCAAAGTAATGATTATTATAATTTTTACAAAATAAGATAAAGTAAAGTAATAATTATTATAATTCAATCAAGCAGATTTCGAACTAACACTTACATTCTTATTGTTCAAAATAAAGCAAAGTATATAATAATTTTTAATTTTAATAAATTTTTAAATAAAATTTAACAGAATATCACTTAGTTTGATATTGCATAACACTGGCTGATTACATTTTTATTCACTTTTTTTTATTTCGTAATTACATTACATTACATTGATATTGGAATTGTGTGTATATAATGTCTGCTTTTTCCAATGATTATCGGATTATCAAATGCAGCCATATTGCTCAGTACAATCATATAAAGTTGCTATAATTGCTGTAATTATAGGACTGTAATATTCACATTTGTGCAGTCTATGTATTTGTCATGTAAATATAGATACCGTGCAAATATAAAATAGATATTCCTAGAGATATTAATAATACATGCAGATTGTAAACATATATGTTCTATATTTTATTAATAATAAATTTGTGTGTTTGCTATTAAAAATATTGCTATTAAAATTAGCAAAAATTGAACGAACGTTTGTTCATATATTTTTCTATATTGAGAGAGAGGACAGAAAAAAGAGATAAAATTTATATTATTAAAAAATTATTTAATTGAGTTCCGCATATAACTTATTTCATTTACTGTAAATTAATATTAAATATATGATTTAAATAGCATTGCAGCGCGTAATAACCATTTTATATTATGAACCAAGATAAATCGCATTAAAATTAAAATCGGGAGATAAAGATTATTTCAATCTATTGCAACGAATCTAATCACGATAACGGTACAATATATCGTCGCAAAATATAGTACCCGCGAGATAAAAACCGCGTATTCGGCTACTCGACGAAAAGATCGTTAGTCTGGCACAGCTTCCGTGAAAGGTTTCAGAATGCGACACGATTCCGTTGAAGAAGACCACCTCTTCAAGTAGGCGCTTAAACGTCAACATCTTGGAGAGCGCAGTCACTCGCTCCGAGTACATGGAGTGCAACAGCCGTTCCGTCCTCTCGTGAGATTTCTCGGTTTCCTCTCCTTCTGCCTTCCCCTCTGCCCCTCTTATCCTTTACTGAAAGAGGAGCAGCAAGAATTAATGCACGGTATAACGAGGGATTCATATCAACGGAATATTTCCAGCCGTTCTATTAATTGCGCTTGCATTTCCGCTCCACCGATCGCGTTTGTGATGTATGCGAAATATATCCGAGCTGAGGTTAGCATTGGTTGTATTCGTATCGCGAGATCATTTGAAGCAGATATAGTAGTACATTCGATCTACATAGCATATCGAGTGTATTTATTTAAAAGAAAGTAATTTTTTTCAAATTATATTTGAGCAAAAATCACAGGAATTACTTTGCCAAAGGCAAAATTGTCACGATTCCCATTCGAAGCAATATCGGTTATCGAAATAATACGAAATATATTTTGCTCGTCGAATGGTTTTTTTTGCAGCAATAAAATATTATTTTTACAAACTCAATAAAAATATTATTTAAAATTTTTTTTCCATTTAGTGTAATAGATAACATATCGTAAAATATATTCGAAACAAAATGATTTATTTTTGATAAAATACATTCAGAGCAATGTAATTTTTTAAATGAAAGTATTATATATATTTAAATTATTATAATTTAAATCACTTCTTTCGTAAAGTGCTTATTACAAGGAATCTGGTAAGTTACGGTAAACTATAACGAGATAGCCTAAAGCGGTATATTCGAAACTATGTTTAACCACAAGAACATTCACGGTAAGCTATCATGAACTTATTTCAAAATATCTTTAGTTAGCATATCACAAGTTAGTTTATTGCAAAGTGCATAAACTTACAACAAAGTTTATCGACACAATGTAACACAATTTGTTATAAGATATATTTAATACCATATCGTGTACGTAATATATGTATATGTTCCACATAATATAACATCGAGGATTATTTTGAAGCAAATTACTAATGAGGAATATGTGAGAAACAATACATGACCATGCATATGACAAGTTTATTGTAAAGTGTATAAACTTACAACGAAGTATATCGAGTGTAACATAATTCGTTATATGTTTAATGCCATATCGTGTATGTAATATATATATTCCACATAATATAACATATCGCGAATTATTTCGAAGCAAATCACTAATGAGGAATATGTGAGAAACAATATATAATCATGGATAATTGGCACGGGGTAGACTATTATAATTCATTTCAAAGTATACTGCTTCATTGCTCGCGGCATGTAACACGCGGCAAAGTATAGTTGTACTAATATATATAACTTAGTATCATACACATTCGGCGCATTATCACTGCAATATTTGGGGCGCGCGACATACAATATATTACTATCTGTATATTGCGAGATATAGCTGGGGATCGCACCTAAAATTACTATCGATCGTAAAGCATACCGGCAATTAATTACTTTATCGCGGTTTTACATTCGGAACAGTGGTACCTACCGCGGCAGTAATCGATAGGCAAAGATAGGGAAAACGAACGCAGGTGATAGAGAGACGAGGGGAAAAAGAGTAGAGGAAAGGGAGAATGAAATCACGGTACAGAGAAGAGCCGGCGAAAATTGGAGAGGTCGCATCGCTGATGAGTGCGCTGAACCAGGCTCTTCAGATCTAGGGGAGGTCTTACTCTAATTTCAGCGAGGCGCTCCACCGCGTCTCTCTTCCCATTTTCGCGGTCCTCGTTTAGAATCCGAGACTGTGTTGAAAGCGAGATGGCTGTGAGTCGCGCGAGTGTCGCTGAGACGACATTGGGAGAGAAGCGTAAGAAAGAGCAGAGACGAATCACTTGTTCTCGAAGAAGTTCCATCTGTCGAGTGAGAAGCTCTCCGAGATGAGACTAGAAACAGAGCTCTTGGTCTTCTCTTTGCGACTTTTCACCTCGTCGAGGAATTTTCTGATTGAGCATCTAATCCCGGCTTAAATTAATATTTAGTCATGTTAACAATGGGCGCTTTTAAGGAACCTTGCCCGCGTATGGAAAACTCGGCTATAAGATGTGCCACTAAAAAATGCAGTACGTTACTTAAGCTGCTCGTGCACTTAAGTTAATATTTCTCACTGTAAGAGCTGCGTTTTATACGGTACATATATTTTTTAACAAGTAGGCCTTTATCAAGCAGTCGCTATGGAATAACATGTGTGTAGATTCTTTTACCGAAAAAGAAACTAGAAATAAAATATAAATAAAATAAAGATGATGAAAATTATTTGATATATATAAATTATATGATATATTTATCACATTTTTTTCCAATATTAAATTTAAGAGATTATATTATAAATAGATAAATTTAAAGATAGTCAAAATTATAGTATATCATTAAATAAATGATCGAGAGGGCTGGCATCATTTTGATATTATAAAATTTAAGTTTCTTTTATTTTCATATTTTGAAAATTGATTTTTCCTAAATTAATAAAAACATACGCGATAGAAATATAAACTTGCATCGCTGTAATTTATAATAAAAATATTCTCAGCATTCTTTGGGATATTGAAATTTTATTATTATTTATATTTTTATCTTCATTCCATAATTAATTAATTATAAATTTGGACATTTGACATATTCAAAATATAATGTAAAAATTGAAAACATTTATGGAAGGTAATTAAATATTATATTACGATGAAATGCCACGATTAAATGCATATTTGAAAATAATTCGCGCACGTAATTCTTTTATATCGTTCTTTCTTGCGCGTCAATGTTATTTAGATACCAATTTATAATAATCAACGCTATTACTTTACGACATATTTAACCATAATTAGCGGCGCAAAATTTATGGAATACAAACGGACGCGGTGCCCGAACGAAAGAGGAATTGAAATACATGGGGAGGGTGGTTTCATTTTGAACGAGGAGCATTCTCCACGGCCGGCTGGCTTGCTCTAAACAGGCAATATTACCTATTGACTTTGGCTGGTGCGGGGGTTACTTTATCGATGGTTGACCGGATGCGAGTTCCAGTAGAATTTGTCTATATGCGGCTCTATTTTATATGAATTTTAATTCGAAAAGTTCAATTATTAAAATAACGAACGTTGAATATTAAAATACTGAAAATAATTAAGAAATTTCTTTATAAAAAGTTTTATGAACTCGATCATAGATAATTAAAATTTGATAATTAAAATTAATATCGAAAACGTGCAGAGAAATTAGAAAAGAAAGAAAATATATACTGATTTTACACACAGAAGTTCCTCTTCTTCTCTCTTTTTCATTTTTAAATATTTCTCGTGATAATCTTGAACTATTCTAAACTGTCAAAGC